TTTAACCGGGCACTGCAAGGCATATCTGTGGGACTCCGTAAATCAGAGGCTGCAGGACAGCAGAGATTCTCAAACTACCTGAGCTCTGGAGCTGAACCCAGGGACCCACTCCAGACCTGTTTATGTCATACATAACGAGACATTCACTAACCTGGAAATGGACTGAAATGAAAACCAAATCGCAAAATTCAAAAAAAGCCAAGCTGCCACTACAGCACAATTAGCTATTCCTACGTAAACGTTAAACTTTGATTTTTAGTTCACTGCAATTCGCCATTTCATGATTAAACCCTTTTGCGTCACGCATGCTTAAGAAAAAAAATGTTTTTTTTAAAGGTGAAGCAAGAATGAATGGCAGAATATTGCCTGCAACGATATCACTGAACATTTTTAATATTTCAGAAGAAAGGCAAGCCATTTTGCTTCTCCTTGCGCTACCATAATTGGTTCAAATGAATATTTAAATTCTAGGATCTTTATCCACAAATAAATCTACAGCCTTCGCAAACTCCTTTAAACATGGTAGTTAGATTAAAGCAATGTCACTTCACATAACACTCTGCCGAGGTCTGGCTTTGAACTTTTGATGACGCGGAGTGCTGTATGACTCCGTTATCACTCTATTCATATCTTTATTCTCGATAAAGCTTGGCTTCTGTTTCTTTATATCTTTTATATGGTTCTTTGTTACTTTAGGCCTGTTCAGCAGTTTCTATTTTTCCATTTGTGGAGCCAATATCAAGTTGGACACTTGGCACCTCTCTCTAGGCTCCTAGTAGTTGAAAAGCAAATATGGCCGTGGTCCCAACACCAAAGTACAAATAAATAGCTGAAACATCTCTGCAGCTTTAATAAGATAGATTGCAAAAACAACGTTATACCATCTTCAAAGTGGACTTGGCAACCCAGTAGTTCCTGGTAGACAAAAAAAAAAAAAAAGTGTTTTGTCTAAAATAGATTTTTCTGAAAATCTTTGTTTCGGCAAATTATGTTTCTTCTATATGGTATTTGGGATCAGACTATTTTAGTCTATGCAAACTTTTAGAGAAAAACAATTCCAGCCAACCAAAATAAACAGGAAAATGTATGTACAATATAAATATCATGTATGTATGTATGTATTTTGCTCTACAATGCACACTTTCACACAATTAGTCCAAAATCACAGAGCAAATGAAAAGGCGTGTGAATTGCACCTTTCGTTTACGGAGTCTATATAACATTTTGTATTGTTGAAAATCAGAAATTGTTGATCACCTAAACTGTGGATAAATCTTGATTCACAAGTCTAGTTCCTGGTCAGACAGAGGCCGTAACGTCTTAAATCTGAGTCTACTTCTTTCATTGCTATTTATTTTCCAAACTGAAAATTATCAGTAAACTGTTACTATGGACTTGGCAATGAAACAACTCCCAGTGAGAAGAGCTGTGTGTGGGTGTGAATTAAAGGCAGGAACACAAAAGGTACTACTCCACAAAAACATATACCCAGTTAGATTTTACAGGAACGGAGGTGGCCGAATGACACTGTATTAAACAGGGTACTTGCAATGGGTTTTCTATAAAGGTTTTAAATGTAAATGCCATGAGCTCTTTAGTGAATGGCTTTACATTAACCTACGGGAGGCTTGGGGCTGTAATAAAAATCCATTTTTAGAAAACAGATGGCAAAAAGCAAACTTATATGAGTTGCACCTGACTCTTAGGCGTGGAAAACAGTTACCTCGTGATTTTCGTATGGATTTCCCTGTATATTAAGATATAACACCTCACATGATAAGGCTAGTAAGACAGCCAGATATTGCACACCTCTGCTACACAAGGAGCCATCACTGTGTGAAACAGACAATTCTACTGATGTACAAAGCTCAGGAAGGTGGTTTTTTTTGTTTTTTTTAAAGATTATACCAGTTACCCCCGGCAGCTCTTTAAATAGCAATTAACGATCAGATTGATAGCTGTATGGAAAAAGTGAAATAAAAGCAAACAGGTCATGATAGTATTTACAATTTTGCCAAAATATTGACGTACATTGGTTGGCTGTAAGAATTATGAAGGATTATGTCACATCTTAAACTGAGTGGGGGACGTTTCAAGGTGTTTAAACTACTTAATATGCCTGTGAAACAGGATTGGCTAAAAATAGAAGAAAAAAAACTAACCTGTTGTGTGCCTCAGGGCAGGTAGAATTGTTCTATGCACAGCACAAGTGTGTGACGGGGGAACAAGGGGATCTTATCGATAAAGAAATAAAGTGCCAATTCCTAACATATTCTGTTGGTGTGGACAAACTGAACGCGCTGCTGGTTTTCAATTGTCTGATCCTCCAAGTGCCGTTCACTTTTTTCAGATGAGCCCTTGGGGTTAATATTGTTAAAATCAAGCATTCACATAGAAACCAGCAATGTGCACAGCTAAGCTCAGGTGAAATGGAGTGTGTCCCCCTCCTAATAAACAATGCAGCTCTCTGAACTAAGTCTATTTACTGCAATGTGGAATGAAGTACTACCTGCTCTGTTTCAGCTATTAACTGGATAATCCACGGATACATTAACCTGCATTAACCCATTCACAGGCAGCGGGGAAGTGTGTGGTGTCAACTCTTGGCACTGACAGGGTTAAATCAATGAGTAGATTAGTATCTTCAGCCCAAACTAGATCCTTCTCTCCCAAAATAAAAGTACACAAAGTGTAGAATATTAGCCATGTGAGTGCCAATATCTACTGTCCAACCAGGAACTGGTACCAGTGTGATGGGGGGCATAGAGTGTTGAGCTATTTGCAGCCACCTTATTTAAGGCGCGCCAGGTGTCGTGTTTAATAATGCTTTTCACTCACGGTTTGCAGATAGGACAGGTCTGTGGAAGCTTTTGGGGCGATCTCAGTGTCCGTCCGCTGACACCCCCAGAATTCGCAGTCAGATCTCACTATCTCTCTTATTATTCCGTGACTTCCTAGTACGATTGAAGCATACTCTGCCAAACTGCACACAGTGCTTGGATCTAGCCAGGTCCCTCCCACAGGGGTGCTGCACAGGTGAGCAGTCTCTTAAAGGCACAGAGCTCCATAAAGTCAGAACAACACTCTGGCAAGCTCTGGAGTGGAAGCCCTGCGTTGTGTCATTATCATAGTCTATTAACTAAACAGAAACAACATTCTCCACTTGGTCTGAAATGGATTTTATGTTTCATCTCAGATATTTTAGACTATGTATCTCCTCTCTGTTTAGTGAATAAGCCTCTGTTTTAAAGCAGTAATTCCTAAACCCATTCATTTGGGGACAAATTACACGTCTATGCTGCAATGTAAGGAGGGTTTTCCTAAGCCTGGTTCTGAACGGGTTAGAGATGAACAGTCACTTGTGAGTTTTATGCACAATCCAATAGCTACTAAAGATTATCTATTGGTTGGGATATTTCTTGTTTTTTTTTTAAATTGTCACAAATTGTTCCTTTCTTAATTTACTTGGAATGCCCAGCTCTCTAGACATGGTATTAAAATGAAATCATCCTCTCCGGTGCAATTCCTGCAGGTGGATGCCAACACACAGCGTTCCTCTGTAAATCCCAAAGTATCAAGGATTTTATCTACCTTAGCAGCAATATTACAGACCCCCCCCCCCCCTTTTCCGGTAAATAAAAAAAAAGCAAATATAAAATTAACCATTATCAATGTCATACAGCATCACAACATGCTGGATATGTGGCGTAATCACTAAACGGTGAATTGAAAGCCAAATTGCCAAACGTAGACAAAAAGTTCAATCCAGAAGAATGTTCCAATGTGGCCGTAGTCACAGCTTGGCTATTTCTGGCTAATTTGGTGATTTGGCTTTAAGCTCATTTGTGAATCGTTTTCAGTCTGTTTCGATGAATAAAATATTTTCATTTTATTTCACAGCGAGATGATAAATTCTGTCTATTTAGATGCGTTTTGTTAGGTTTTCTCCAGCTCTGACAATAGATCTTTTACAAAAAGAACATTTTGCCAGAGCATTCTATTCGTTTCCATGGTGATTGTTCTACTTAGACAATATCCTTTATTGTCCCTCAACTGCATGAAAAAAAGTTAATAAAATAAGCCTCACTTTTTCATATTTTATAAGCGTCTAATTTGCAAGAGAACCTCATCCATTCTGACATGGTTGAAAAAAATTATAAAGACATACATCATGATACATACTGTAAATAATAACATAGCCATGAATGAAGCTATATCAATTCAACTGAGACTGGATGAGATTCTGCTGGACATTGTAGCCCTAACAGCCCTCCAAACATCATGGAAGTATGAAACACTGGGCTGAAAATAAGATTTTAGATCCAATTACTCCCGGTGCTAGTAGAATATAGTGCTAACTGCGTCATAGCTCAGAAAGTATAACAAATATTTTTTTGTTTTGTTTTTTCTTAACTTTACCATCATCTCTGTAGACAAAGCCGAAGGTAACTTTTCATTATAAAATATTTACAATCTAAATGAAAACATTGTTGTGTCGATATATGGAAAACACATAAACGCTGGTCCTGACGGCACAAGAAAACCAATTGGTCCATCACGGAATTTATTCACTAAACTAGGAATTATGAAGAAACAAATCCCAAATTTGAGGCCACATTACCCACATTGTAAAGCCGCTGGTTCTGAGAACTTCTTGAAACAGACACTTTGGGCTAAAATCTCCTTGTCATTCCTCCATAATTCCGCATTTATTGAACAGGGCTGCCATCAGAGGTGACAGCCAGTATTCTGTTAAGGGGCTTGTCAAGCTGTGGGCTCATACAAGTGCTGGCTCTGCCCCCCATCTGTCCTGCTTATGAGCGATAGTTCCAAGTGTAGATGCACGGTCCCTCTATGGCTCTTCGGTATTTCTTTCTCTGCATGCACAGACTTATTAAATTATGCATTATCTGTGCACAGTTGGTTACGCAGTTGGTGGGCTCCTATTTGCTGTACACCCCCAGACCACACCAGCTAGAGATCAAGCAGCTATTATTAAAGCCAGAGGCTGTGACCATAATTCTGCCATTCACAAAGAAGATTATGCCAGACTGTATCCTCCGACAGCACTAATAAAAGCTTAGGATTGTGGCTTTGGTATGAACCACCCACGAAGATCATCCCGGCTAGCACCCTTCAATGACAATTCCTGGGGGTTAAGGTGATGATATATAAGTAGGATGTGCAAAGCCAACTAACAAGTTATTAGTAAGCAGACATCTGTCCTGATGATTAACCACTCACGCTGACCAGTAACTAACGTTTCACCCAACTCAGTCAAACGATGTCATAAGTCAAAACATGGACTAGTTTGTATTATGATAAATCTAAAATTAAGATAAGGCAGAACTACCACTGCAAAGTTTTGTCACGGCTGTGGGAATAAGGCACTATCTCTCTCAAAAAGATACAACATCTGTGGAGGCTTCCAAGGTCTCGAAGGAACCTCCATAGACATCATTGTTGTACTTTTACGCATGAAGATTGAAGATGGTGGCAGGGGCTGGGGCAGCATCAAGTAAGTACAACTCACCGGGTGCACCCTTGGGTCACTGCACCCCAAAAAGCAATGTTACCACTGGGTTCAAAATAGGGAAAGACCCCAGAATATGATAGAGTTGCTTTAAATTTGAAACTTCCATTGAATTCACTCAGAATTCCTCACAATCCTTACTAGTCAATAACTGTGTATAAATAGCCAAACCGGAAAAAAGTCAGCTATACTGCTAGCTCAGCTACTCTGGAATTAAATGGAAAACTCACTTTGCATTCTCACTTTACTGAATAACCCTGTATGTTGTCAGTTCCACTACTGGGCCTAAAATTGGAAATTCGCTATAATTTCTGATCATTCACACTTTAGCGAATACTCCTGTCAGTATTTTTGTTTTTAGAATAGTTGAGATACCTATAAATATCTGGTAGTGTACGTGTGATGTCATTATTGGATCAAACACTGCGTATACAGAGCGTATTCTTTTATATTGAAGCAGGTGATGTGCAGTATGCCTGGCGCTGAGCAGGAGGACGGCAGGTGAGCAGTAGGACGGCAGGTGAACAGTATGCCTGGAGCTGAGCAGGGGGACGGCAGCTGAGCAGGAGGACGGTAGGTGAGCAGTATGCCTGGTGCTGACCAGGATGACGGCAGGTGAGCAGTATGCCTGGCACTGAGCAGGAGGACGGTAGGTGAGCAGTTTGCCTGGCGCTGAGCAGGAGGATGGTAGGTGAGCAGTATGCCTGGCGCTAAGCAGTATGCCTGGCGCTGAGCAGGAGGACGGCAGGTGAGCAGTATGCCTGGCGCTGAGCAGGAGGATGGTAGGTGAGCAGTATGCCTGGCGCTGAGCAGGAGGACGGCAGGTGAGAGCTATGCCTGGTGCTGAGCAGGAGGATAGCAGGTGAGCAGTATGCCTGGCGCTGAGCAGGAGGATGGTAGGTGAGCAGTATGCCTGGCGCTGAGCAGGAGGACGGCAGGTGAGAGCTATGCCTGGTGCTGAGCAGGAGGATGGCAGGTGAGCAGTATGCCTGGCGCGGAGCAGGAGGACGGCAGGTGAGCAGTATGCCTGGTGCTGAGCAGGAGGGCGATAGGTGAGCAGTATGCCTGGCGCTGAACAGGACGGCAAGTGAGCAGTATGCCCAGCACTGAGCAGGACGGCACATGAGCAATATGCCTAGCGCTGAGCAGTATGCTTGGCACTAAGCAGGAGGACGGTAGGTGAGCAGTATGTCTGGCGTTGAGCAGGATGACACATGAGCAGTATGCCTAGCACTGAGCAGTATGCTTGGCGCTGAGCAGGAGGACTGTAGGTGAACAGTATGCTTGGCGCTGAGCAGAACGGCACATGAGCAGTATGCCTAGCGCTGAGCAGTATGCTTGACGCTAAGCAGGAGGACGGTAGGTGAGCAGTATGCCTAGCGCTGAGAAGGACGGCACATGAGCAGTATGCCTAGCGCTGAGCAGTATGCTTGGCGCTGAGCAGGAGGACAGTAGATGAGCAGTATGCCTGGCGCTGAGCAGGAGGACGGTAGGTGAACAGTATGCTTGGCGCTGAGCAGGAGGACGGTATGTGAGCAGTATGTCTCGCACTGAGCAGGCGGACGGCAGGTGAGTGCTGGTTAAAGCTAGCTTTAGCCAAGTGTAAGAATTCACTAATAATTTTAACCCTTTCAGTGAGACTGGCCAATACCTTTTACCACCATAACCTTGAATAATGGCAATATTACATATTATCAGTTTAGCTTTAGAAAGACCAGCTTTAACTTTCCAGTCATCTTCTATGTTACCTAAGGCTGTCCCACACCATTATCCCTACAATCAGCAGCTGTTTGATATATCGAGACAAGACAAGAGGTATGAATACACACAGAACGCTAGACTGCAGAGTACACAAGTTGTGAATGCTCCAGACCTATAGTTTGCATATTATTTGCATGATCATTGCTACATGACAAAGAGGAGAAACCAAGATTTATTACTAAACAGAAAAGGGAAAAGACCAGGATAGAAAAAAATCACGTTCTAATAAAATGTAGCAATCAGTTTTTTTTTTAATATAACAATATCTTCATCAAATTCTGGTTGTATGTTGTATGTGTTTTTCAAAAGGTGTCCTGCTTCAGGTGTAAAGGCTACTTTATATTACGGGCATTGTTTATGAGAATCACCTAAAGCCCAGATGTGATTACTGAACTTATGAATGGTAAAAAAAATAAAATAAAAATTAAAAAAAAATAATACAATTAAATATGAAACGTTAAAAAAAATCAATAAAGTAATAAAAAAAAAATCACGGCTTTGTAGATATAGCTCAAATGAAAAACGTACTAAATGATTTGTCTACGCAAGTCACCACTACAGTCTTTGGGAATGTTTATAGATAAATCATTTAAAAAGATTATCCAAAAATATTAACTCCAGGCCAAAGTCAGCAGTGTGAGGGTTAATTGTAAGTGGGGGAGGGGTGATCCACAAATCTGGTTTATTCAAGTCATGTGTTTAGATTACAGGTGACCTTTAAGGTGTAGATACCCTTGCAGGACCTTGTGATCAACTCTCCGAGGGACCAGTGGCTACCTCTGCTGTAACAAATTAACGGCAGGTATTCACAGACCTACACTCGGCTTGTATATGTATTATGTCAAACTACATTTAGGCTGACACAAACGTCCAGTTTCAGTTGGAGAATTCATTGTCATTATACATACTGTATACAGGATTAGCAGCAATGTTGATAATAAACAATCAAACACTGGGATATGCCACCCAGGTCCAGCCTTGTTTCAGGTGGGTTTTTTCAGGGAAGTGTCTGCCGTGGAAAACTCTATTCATGCTCTCTCACCGTGAGTCTGAGCAACCAAGTAACAGTCAACAAGGTAAGTGATCACAGTATTGTTTAAGTCTGAAAAGAAATGTGAACAGCAAACAAAGCTCAAAAATGGTATCTGATTTCTGGACTGAATGCCAACAATATATTCAAGAAATAAAGGAACTTTTCAGGAACCCGGTGATAGCAATGGTGATTGTATGGAGCAGAACCAGTTACTGCCCAGGTTTAAGGTAAGTGAATGTGGCAGCAAACAGAACATGTAGCGTGTCTCTCAGTTCTACATGGGATCACGGACAGTAGTTCTGGGTCATGAATGTCTCCCTGCTAGTTTTAGGACACAATGAGCACATGTGACAAACAGCGATCCTGGAGTGTTCCGTAAGGTGATGGAATGTGTCTGGTGGTTTGTCACACGCTCCTTCAGCTCCACAGGCTGAAGGTCTCGCAGGATTCAGTAACAATTGCAATATATGTCGAGACTCGCAGGTCTCCAAAGTGGACAGGAAGAATAAAATTTACAATCAATTACATCAAAATTAGCAGCAGAGACCTCTTAAATGTAACCAGAGTAAAGAACCGAGTTAAACGTAAAGAAAAAGGGGAGCAAAATGGAAGAAGCAAAGGAGTAGAAAAGGGAAGAAAAAGACATGTTGGATCGTCCGATGGGGGCCCAGCACCAAATCCCAGATTCCCAGGCCTGGTTCGAATCTCCCACTTGTAAGTGTGGGCGTTACTGTAGCATAAACTGAAACCCCTCAGTACAGGTGGTAAGTAACCATGGGACCAAATATCCAGCCATTTCTGTGTCCTATAAGAGGCTTCAAATATGAGCTCCTCTTTAGGGTGTAATTCCTCCATCTTAGTGAACCACAGGTTCAGTGGGAGGCTAGTTTGTTGTCTCCAAAAAAGGGGTTTTAGCTGTTAAGCAACATTCAAGATACAAATTGTGAGCAGGTTCTTATAATGGGAGGTAGGGGTTTTGGTATCTTGAAGGACCATAGGTACCGGCTTCATAGGCGGCAGAGCGGCAGAATACTTAGTGAGCATTGTGTGGATACCGGTCCAGAATGGTAGCCGTCCCTGAGCCTTATGGGAGTTGCTGGACTTATTAAATTTTCCCATGTGGGAAATTTTCCCATGTCGCGGGTTAGTGAATGGGTACTAGAGCGGAGCCCCATGGGAGCATGAGGATTAGACGTCCATCTTCTCCAGCGCTCATGCCCATTGTTATTACACTTTATACATATTGAAACATTAAATATATCAGTAGTTACTAAACCAATTAAAATGCTACATGACAGAATGATTAAGGAAAAGATAACCGAATGTCAGATATGCATTGTAGCCTTTGGGGCGGTTATTAAATATAAATATATATAGCCTGTACTTCTTGCAATACCCCCATACCGAGCAAGAGGGGGTCATACTGACATTGTCACTCGCTGTTCAAAAAGGTATTTTGTGATGTTCAATAAAAATATTATGAAAAAAGTCAGATAAGAAAGAAAGTAAAATAAAATAACAGACAGCAGCGCAGAGAACGTTCCTAAGGCCAGATGCTAGCTGTATGATGGGAGATTGTGATAGAGAAATAAACCCAACAACTATCTATTAAGAACGTGTCGGGAGAGTCAACCAAGAACAAAGAACACATGAATATGCAAAGCACTGTGGGAGATGTAGCCTCCAGCAGGAACCCATGCTTTCACGCTGTCTGTTTGTACAATAATTGCTTACTGTGCAGCTTTCTGTTGTGGCGACCAAACAAACGTGACCCGTAACCCTGAGGTGAGTAACTGCGAGCTGCCCGAGACTAACACAGACAATCTACGAACACAGGTAAATATAAAACAATGTGTCACAACTGGTTGTGCAACAAGTGATATCACTAGTGAGTTCTGTACAGAGAGTGCAGAGGGCATTCTACCAGTTGTTTAAAGGGACTCGGTCATCCAAGCTCTGCTTATGAGAATGTACAGACTATCTGAAATAAAAATTTGATTCATGTACCCTTCTAAGACACGGCAGCTAATCCTGTCTAACATTGTGAACCCAGCCATCACAGAGACTGCACTGGAGAATAGACATTTACTCCCAAATCACTAACACTGCTTCTTCCTACCTTTCTGGGTTTAATCACAATGTCTAGGGAGTCACACAAAAACAGCACAGTTAGTGCTCTTATTGAGAGTTTATGTTATACATCACAAAACATGGAGGATTGTCATTAGCACAACCTGCAATTATATAGCATTTGGGGAGTTGGGTTAGGGGATTTCTGACTCCCTGGACCAGCAAGATGTTTCCTAACATGGTTGTATAAGTCTCTTACCTACTTACACACAGGGCCGTCTTTAATATTGATTGGACCCTGGGCAAAACATTTGCTTGGGCCCCCTGGACCATGTACACCCTCCCCAGGCGTGCAAACACGTTATCACCCTTAACGCAGTGGCTACCTAAAGTAGAGAGGTGCAAGAATATTTTTTTTGGGCCTCCCTATTGTAAGGATGTTTAAAAGGTAGATCCCCATCTGTTGTGCAACTCCAGCAATGCCTTGACAGCTGGGGCTCTACCATTTATCCATGTTTGCAGGTTTGTATTTAGCACTAAGGTGTTTTTGTGTGTTTCAATGTAAACAGGTTTTTGTATGGAATATGTTTGTATGTGGCATTGGCGTTTGAATGTAAGCATGTATTTATGTGTAGTGTTGGTTTTACATATAATGTTGGTGTTTAACACAGACGTGTATTTGTATGTTGTGCTGAAGCTTGAATGCAGGGGTGTATTTGTGTGTAGTGTTAGCGTGTGAATGTTGAGATGTATGCACATATACACACACAGGTAGATATGCACACAACCTGACACACAAATACACACCCTGACACACATACTAATAACATAACATACAGATACACTGAAACACACAAAGACAACGTACAGATACACACTGACACACATACAGACACACCGATACACATCCTGACATACACAAAGATACAAACACTGACACACACGCAGTTACACAGACACACATATACACACCTGACACACTTGCAGATACACACACACAGACTTCATACAGATACACACACATATATACACACTGACAAACACACAGATACAAAAAATGACAACATATAGATACACACACAGATATACAGACAAACTGACACACAAACATACACTGATAGACATACTTACACAGACACATAAACTGACAGACATACTGACACACAGACAGACAGATATATACTGAGACACACACAGACATACTGACACACTGACAGACATGCTGACACATTCACCAACACACACACCGACATACAGACACAAAGAGTCAAACTGATACAGACATGCACACACCGACATACAGACATGCACACACTGACATACATATGGACACACGGAGACACATACACTAACAGACATGCTGACACACACACACATATACTGACAGACATATTGACACACATTCACAGACACACACACAGGCATACTGACACACACACGCACTGACAGACATACTGACACATACACTGACAGACATACTAACACACACACGCACTGACAGAAATACTGACACACACACGCACTGACAGACATACTGACACATACACTGACAGACATACTGACACACACACGCACTGACAGACATACTGACACACACACGCACTGACAGACATACTGACACACGCACTGAAAGACATACTGACACACGCACTGACAGACATACTGACACACGCACTGACAGACATACTGACACACGCACTGACAGACATACTGACACACGCACTGACAGTCATACTGACACATACTACTGACACACGCACTGACAGTCACTGACACACGCACACTACTGACACACACACTGACAGACATACTGACACACGCACTGACAGACATACTGACAGACATACTGACACACACACTGACAGACATACTGACACATTCACAGATACACATGCAAAATTTACACTATTAAACCCACCCTTTCTACGTTGGAGGGTGACTTTCCTACCAGTGGCTGAAGCTGCTGGGAGTTGGGGTCTGGCTAGCTCGGCCCAGACCCCCACCGCTCTGCCTCTTCCTCCTCCCGCGCGCTCCTCTCTCTATGGGAGGAAGTGACGTGCAGCCATCACTACCTCCTAGCCGGCTGCCGAAAAGCAAGAGGGCCTGGTCGCGCTCTTAAAGCGCCAGAGCGCAAGACCGGGCCCCTGCTGACAGAAGCCCACCGGGTGCGTGGCTGCACCGGCAGTTGGGAAAAATGCTTGAGGTCAGCGGGGCCCACGGTGCAGCTGCTTCGGGCCCCCAAGAGTAACTGGGCCCGGGGCAGCTGCCCCGTTTGCCCCGCGGTAAAGACGGCCCTGCTTACATACAGGTTGGGGAATCTGCACAAAGTTTTTGCTTTCATCAAAAGTTAATTCATTGGATGGATCCACAAATGCTCCCACTAGATGGCGTTCGTCTAACGACCACCCAGGTGCGGTTTGTGGTTTTGAACGTTCTAGGACAACATTCTAAATTAGGTTTCGTGGTGGTCCCCGTACAGGAGGTGAACGGAATTCGTTCGTATTGGCTCTCCCAAACGGGGAGTAGGTAAAACACAGGAATATAACACAACACAGGGGAAAACACGGGGAATAACACTTAGTAATTCACGAACAAGCAGCGGTCCCGCCACACTGGTCGGGTGGAAAAGCTCCAGAAGGGCCCCAGTCAAGCCATGGCGACTGGGGCAGAAGTGATGAGGTTTTCCTTGGTTCCAGCTAGGAAGCGGTCCTTGGCGGAGGTACCCAGTCAGGGTACAGGGAGCTCCGCTACATTATAGTATGTCATCACTGTTATACAGAGAGAGAATAGATCTTATAGTCTTATATGTCATCACCACTATCTCATCCTGTGCATGGCTTTCACAATGACCTGTAATGACACTCTCAGACTGTCTCATCCTGTGTGGCTATCACAATGACCTGTAATGACACTCTCAGATTGTCTCATCCTGTGTGGCTGTCACAATGACCTGTAATAACACTCTCAGATTGTCTCATCCTGTGCGTGGCTTTCACAATGACCTGTATTAACACTCTCAGACTGTCTCATCCTGTGTGTGGCTGTCACAATGACCTGTATTAACACTCTCAGACTGTCTCATCCTGTGTGTGGCTGTCACAATGACCTGTAATAACACTCTCAGACTGTCTCGTCCTGTGCATGGCTTTCACAATGACCTGTAATGACACTCTCAGACTGTCTCATCCTGTGTATGGCTGTCAGTGACCTGTAATAACACTCTCAGATTGTCTGATCCTGTGTGGCTATCACAATGACCTGTAATAACACTCTCAGATTGTCTCATCCTGTGTGTGGCTGTCAGTGACCTGAAATAACACTCTCAGATTGTCTCATCCTGTGTGTGGCTGTCACAATGATCTGTAATAACACTCTCCGATTGTCTCATCCTGTGTGTGGCTGTCACATTGACTTGTATTAACACTCTCAGACTGTCTCATCCTGTGTGGCTGTCAGTGACCTGTATTAACACTCTCAGACTGTCTCATTCTGTGTGTGGCTGTCAGTGACCTGTAATAACACTCTCAGACTGTCTCATCCTGTGTGGCTGTCACAATGCCTGTATTAACACTCTCAGACTGTCTCATCCTGTGTTGCTATCACAATAACCTCCTGGTCTGTCATCACCTCCATGGATTCTGACCTTTAACAAGGGAAATGAGCTTTACTTTACTTACTGCCTCCTTACTTACTTATCATCATCCTTCCACTGCCTCCTTCTCCAACATCATCATTCTTCCACTGCCTCCTACTTTATCGTCATTACCCTTCCACTGCCTCTTACTCTATCATCATTAGCCTTTCTCTGCCTCCTACTCTAATCACCTTTCCAGTGTCCCCTACTTCATCATCATCCTTCCACTGCCTCCCACTTCATCATCATTCTTCCACTGCTCCCTACTCTACCTTCATCACCCATCTACTTGCCCTTACTCTACCTTCACCTTCCTCCCACTTGCCCCTATTCCACCTTCATGAACCTTTCACATGCCACTTCTCCACCTTCATCATCCTTCCACTGCTCCCTAATCCACCTTAATCAACCTTCCACTGCCCCCTACTCCACCTTCATCAACCTTCCACTGCCCCTTCTACATTTTCATCAACCTTCCACTGCCCCCTACTCCACCATCATCAACCTTCCACTGCTCCTTAATCCACCTTCATCAACCTTCCACTGCCCCCTACTCCACCTTCATCAACCTTCCCTGCCCCCCTCCACCTTCATCAACCTTCCACTGCCCTACTACATTTTTCATCAACCTTCCACTGCCCTCTACTCCACCTTCATCAACCTTCACTGCCTACTACGTTTTCATTAACCTTCACTGCTCCACCTTCCCCTACTCCACCTTCATCAACCTTCCACTGCCCTACTACATTTTCATCCAACCTTCCACTGCCCCCTACTCCATCTTCATCAACCTTCCACTGCCCCCTACTCCACCTTCATCAACCTTCCACTGCCCCTACTACATTTTCATCAACCTTCCACTGCCCCCTACTCCACCATCATCAACCTTCCACTGCCCCGTACTCCACCATCAACCTTCCACTGCCCCGTACTCCATCTTCATTAACTTTCCACTGCCCCCTCCACCTTCATCAACCTTCCACTGCCCCTACTACAT